GAGAGAGAGAGAGAGAGAGAGAGAGAGAGAGAGACTAGCTCATGAGGTACACACATGAATGAACTACTGAGATAGAGGTCTGTGTTGGATTCCCTGTGAACGGCATGACTACCTGGCGCCGGTCATTTGAAAGCTGATATCTCAGGTCCGTTGCCCAAGACAAAATGGAGAAATGGACTACTCTGCGAAATGAAAATAATGGACTACTCTGCAAAATGAAAATGTATCTTTCCCTAGGACATGGAAAGATACACCACCATATTTCCTGCTGGATGAAAATGAAAATGTATCTTTCCCTACTAATTTTTGTCTTTTTCCTTCCCCTTGGAAGCTTTTTTGGTGGGATAATTTGCAAAATACCCTCATTAGTTGAGACATATGCCGCCATGCGCCTGAAAGATGTGGGTAGAGCGTAATGCCCTTTTAGGCCGAAATGTTTGTGTTGCGCCCCTGTGAGGCGGGTGTGCAACTTTGCAATCTGCACCTCCCCGTTTGGGCCTTGGCCTTCTGCAATAGGACCTAGGAGAAGTTGGCAAGTACGGGGACATTCTGCAAGTTGGATGGACGGTACCCGGTAGGGGTATATTGCAAAGATGGGGTCCCAACCGACGCCAGGGGTATTTCACAAAATGTTTATTTTGTCAGAGGGGCATTTCGTTCCACTCGCATCTTTTAGGGGCATTTTGGCATATGTCTCAACTTCTGGGGGCATTTTGCAAACTATCCCCTTTGTTTTGTTTCAAAAGGCTAATTCTTTAAGCCCAACCTTGGAACTTTGATTTTTTTTTTTTTTTTTTTTTTCCAATCAAAAGGACTTTGATTTCATACGGGTCCAGTGCCCAAGGCTCCCAGAGTCTCCATCATCAACAATCTATTCACGTTGTGACGCTGGACTCGTTTTCCAGCAGCGGGGAGGTCCCACTAGCAAAGAGGATTGGACAAATCTCCTGAAACTGGACGTGATTTAATCAGAGATGCAGAGAAGCAGTTCCATCTCGATTTTCTGCACCTCTCCAAAAAAAAGTCCAGATTCAGGCTTTCAATCCTGGACCAATCCTCTTTGCTAGTGGAACCTGGCCCCAGGTGCAGCTCCTGCCCCCACCAATGGAACGGAGTCATCCACATTTCGCACTTCTCACCAGGCCAAGTGCTGCCTACCGGTAGCCGCCTGCCTAACCTCGCGCCCGACCCCCTACTTGGCCTTCTGCCTGACCTCCTCCCTGACCTCCTGCAATGCATCTGCAAGCATAATAAGGCTGAGTAGAAGCTCGTCCCAAGCAGTCCGTCATATACCTGTCCCATGGGATCTCATGCTCAGTAGAGAGAGAGAACTGAGCATGAGATTCTCTTCTCGCTCTCTACTGCACCACAGATCAGTCAAGGCAACGGTAGCAAAACTCCCAATTATTTTTTATTTCCCCCCAAAAAGAAACCCTTCAGGCCTTTTTTATTGTCATTATAGTATTACAGGGAACTCCGTAGCAGCCACATCCGTGCTCAAGCCTCCAACGAGGAAACATGCGGGAGCTGCACCCACCAGCAGGTGCTATACCTACTACAGCAGGTGGGCGATACCGGCCAGGGGTCAGCTGGTAGCATCAGGACTGAGCTTCTTCGATGGGCCAGTCACTGTGCCTCCCCTCAGGTGGTGGTCCCCTCCCCCTATGAACATCAGCAGTCTCTGCTCAATGCCACTCGGGGGGACCAACGGCATATCTGTAGGTGGCGGGCGCCGAGCGTGCCCAGGAAGGTACATGAGGCCAATGGGGATTGAGCCCAAGACTTCCTGAATGCCACTTGCGTGCCTACCAACTGAGATAGGCCCCTGGATTTCCCAATCTTTTTTTTTTTTTTTTTTTTTTTTCTTCAGAAGGGCGATAGCCTTGAGGTATTATCATCGGACTAACCAGCCCAGGTAAATTCAATATTGCGTCTAATCTGACATCTGGTGGCCTTTTCAGCCCAGGGTGGCCTTGATGCCTTCAGGGAACCCCCAATGGGGGACACCGGCCAGGGGACAGCCGGTAGCAGAGGGACAGAGCATCATCTGAGTGGCCAGTCGCTGTGCCTCCCCGATTACCCCTCCCCCTATGAACATCAGCAGAGACTGCTTTTTAAAGCCAATTGGGGGGACCAACGTGCTATCTCTAGGTGGCGGGCGCCAAGCTTGCCCGGGATGTAAGTACATGAGGCCGATGGGGATTGAACCAAGACCTCCTGAATGCCACTTGCGTGCCTTACCAACTGAGCTAGGCCGCTGGATGATTTCCCAATCTTTGTGCCAAGTGGGACACCCCCAAAAAAAAAAAAAAAAAAAAAGTGGGACACCCCTCTCCCTCGTGGGAGTCAAGCCTACCAGAGCAGTCAGATCTCTCTCGGTCTCCCTCTCTCTCTCTCTCTCTCTCCCTCTCTCTCTCTCTGTGTCTGTAAATGTCTGTGCAGTAGGCAAATAGTCCCAATACATACAAAATCGTGGATCAGTCGGAATGTATCTAGTCCGAATGTCTCGCGTCACTAAATGCCCAAATACGCAGTGTCGACTGTTTTTTTTTTTTGTTTTGTTTTTTAAACGAAGTGGCTAATTTTCTCTCTATCCTTCCAATTTTAACGGATGGATGTCCCGCAGGACCGTCGTGTCGAATGTTGAGTAGTGGAGCCACACACTCGCTCTCTGTGGTCGAGGGACAGAGCTGTAATGCACTACATTCTAAAATGTATCTGCTCGTGGTAATGCTCCCAATACATTCAAAATGTTTGATAGTCCGAATGTATGCGTTCCATGAACAGTCCAGATACGTGTCCAATGTTCAGTACTAGTGCCCGGTCCCCTCTCTCTCTCTCTCTCTCTCTCTCATGTTCCCGTGTTCTGTGTGCTCGAGGGAGAGCTGTAAATTAACAGTGCCACTGGCCCACAGTCGTTGTTTCGTCGTTTACCAAATTTTTAGATCTTCTCTGCGCTCACGTCCGCATCACGTCCCTTCCCTGTCTCTTGTCGTTTCCGCCGTTCCCCTGTTCAGCGCCGCGTATCCGATTCGCGACACACACTCTCGGTCCTTCCGCTCCCGCCTTCCGCCTTCCGCCTTCCGCCTGGTGCCTCTTCTCCGATTCGCCTTCCCCGCGCCCGGTAGCATACGCTAAAACTTTTTTTTTTCTGTCGTTTGTTCTCCCCCCAATTGTTTACAAATTTTTCGGTCGTTCCTCTCTTCACCTGTCGTTTCAGCGCTCCTGTTTTTTTTTTTTGTCGAGCCCCCCGCCCGCCGCCATCTCGCTGTCTTACCCCGCCATCGTCTCCTCGTATTTTTACGAAGCTTTCACAAAGCTTTCACGAAGCGCGCAATCGCGCATACTTCGTATTGACGGATTGACGGGCACGCCACTACTCGCTAGTTGCACGAAGTAACAAAAAAGAGATATCGCGGTGCATCTTCCCATGCGGAAGATTCGTTCTTATTTTGCACATTTGGGGGATTGGTATAGTAGAGGAGCGAGGCCCATTTTCATGTGCTTCGTCCCGCTATCTCCCGCTCAAGTTTTGATTCCCGCCATTGCCGAAAATCAGAGGTCAAGCAAAGATTGAGGTTGTCATTCTGTGCTTTCCGTTCTTTCTATACCCCGCCCCCTCCTCCGCGCCTTTCTCTCTGCGGCAACGAGGGCGTTCTGTTTCCTCGCTTTTGCACACGCGCGCTCGGTGGCAGTAAAACGTTTTCCCACTTTGCGTGCTCCACGTTCCCCGCGCTAGCTAAGTGTAAACGTCAGAGCGGCGATCGGCGCGAGTTCGAATCGATCGGCGCGAATTCGAATCGATCGAAGACAGCATAACGAGCAGAGAAGTGTACACGTCAGAGCGGCGATCGGAGCGATCAGTGGTTCTGGCGCGATCGGCGCGATCAGTGGATTTGGCGCGATCGGCGCGATCAGTGGATTTGGCGCGATCGGCGCGAGTTCGAATCGATTGGAAGATAGCATAACGAGCAGAGAAGCGCATTCCGTAGCGCGAACGCAAATTCGAAATATTTGAAGTTTCTGCGCGCATTTGCCGCCATTTTCATTTTCCACGTTTTCTTGGTTCTTTCGGCATCTTGGTCGCGCGCGAGGTCGGTGTGCCTTTTGCTTTCGTCCCGCCGATCTTGGTCCGTGGGGCCTTTCTCATCGCCGGCATTACACGTTCACCTCTCGTTTCTCTCTCTCTCTCTCTCTCTCTCTCTCTCTCTCTCTTTGACTCTGTGGCCTTGTGCCTGTTCTCTCTACAGCTTTAAATACGAGTGTAGCGGACATTCCATCGCTGACATTACTCGTTCACCTCTCGCTTCTCTCTCTCTCTCTCTCTCTCTCTCTCTCTTCGACTCTCTGTGGCCTTGTGCCTGTTCTCTCTACAGCTTTAAATACGAGTGTAGCGGACATTCATCATTTGATTGATTGACTGATTGATTGATTGGTGATTGGTTGATAGAGGGGACTTGATCGCTTTCTGACCTTTCCATTGGCCGGTAAGGAGGAAAGAAGAAGAAGGTTTTCAGTCACACCTTGGGAGAGTTTAGGACGGTATAGCGGCGACGGCGGCGCAGGCGGATGAAACGCCCTGCGCAGCGCGAGCCATCGCTTGCTTACACACTCGCAAGGAAGTCCCTCCGACCGCTTCCTCGATGGTCGACCGCTCTTCACGTGAGTCAGTCCTGAGTTCAAGTACTCAACGGAAGAGAAGAGTATCTTGCTACAGGTTGCCACGCGTTGGGACGATCGAAAGGAGAATCGTTAGGTTACATAAGTGATACTTCGAGGTTGTCCTCAGGGACATGCGTCAAATCTGGAACGATACAGAGAAGATTAGCATGCCCCCTTCGCAAGGACGTTGAACCAAGACACTCGAGCGTCAAATCTGGCTCACGATCCGCATCGAACGGTCACCGGTTCATTGTCGAAGTTGGTGTAGCGCAATGAGCACGCCCAACCTTATCAGGCGAAGTTCCTGAATCCTATTGAGCTTTTAGACCGAAAGGTGATTATATGACATAAGCAGGAGGAGGAGGAGGAGGAGGAGGAGCAGGCGGAGGAGGAGAGGAAGTCGACGATGGACAGAAGATCCATTTCTGTATAGTCCGTCGCAGCCATTCGTCCCTCTTTGGGACTAGAAGAAGACGACGGAGTAGGAGGAGGAGGAGGAGGAGGTGGAGGAGGAGGAGAGAAACGAGAGGGAGGGGTGCGGACAGGAGATCCATTCCCCTATACTCCACCCAGCAGGTGATTTACAACTCGACGCTCTCGTTGACACCAGTTTTCTTCTGAGGTTCTGTCCCATGTTGGACGATTTGCAAACCGCTGTCACTGCCGCCAGGATAACTGTTGCGCACAGAGTAATGGGAAAGGAGTTACTTCTCTGTTCTCAACGGCAGGAATAGCACATTCGACGGAAAACCCTCTCCCACAGACACACACACACACACACACACACACACACACACACAGAGAGAGAGAGAGAGAGAGAGAGAGAGAGAGAGAGAGAGAGAGAGAGAGAGGTTCGAACGTGCGTTTAAGTAAAGTTTATCAAACGGTATCTCTGGTATCGAAACGCAGTGTATGCGTGTGCGCAATCTAGCGAAGACATGACTGGAGCAATCAATCGCCGCATCGCTGGTGGATCACTAGGCATGGAACGGTTATAACAGTCGATTCGATAGAGGAGAGGGGGAGGAAAGGGAGGGGAAGAGAATGTGCGCCGAGACGCGTGGGATACGATTCGAGAGGGAGGAAGAGGGAAGGAGGAGCAAGAGTAACAGTGACGAAGCGGCAAAGAGATGAACTAAGCAGAAGATTGCTTGAGGTATTGACTCGACGATCGCTGCGGCATTTGGAAAAGTGTCGGACATAAGGAGGAGACTTTGATTTGGTGGTCCGAGTTTTCTATTCTTCGACAAAACACACACACACAAAGAAAGAGTGTGAGAGAGAGAGAGAGAGAGAGAGAGAGAGAGAGAGAGACAGAGGAGATTATTACACAGGCAGAGACTTGTTATCATCTCCAGGAACAATGATATTACCCCCGGACTCGGTCATCACAATTGTCTTGAGACCCCTTTTCGGTCACTGCTTGAAACGGCGTCGAGAGAACAATGGAAGAACCTACCACACTCTCCAGAGGTAAGGACGAAGAATAGTACCTGATGTGTTCTTTCGTTGACTTGTTGGCATGATCTATATAATCATATATTAGTTATACGTCGTCGAGCAGTAATTATACTTTTTATATATATTTTGTCTACCTATCTATCTATTTATCTATCTATCTATCTATACACAGCCTCCTGATGAGTCGGTGAAACTCCGAAGAAACACTTTGTCACAGCCCCTCGTTTGTTGCCTTCTTCTCCCTCTCTGCCTACTGTTTACCGGGAAGTTCTGTTTGCTATATATCCCCTGTTTTGTTGTATTTGGCTGTTCCCTTCCTCTTTTCTTTGCCTCTTTGCCCTTTGGCTGTGTGCAAGTGGGTCGATATGACACACGGGGGTGGGGGCAGCCGCCGCTCAACCTACATCCACGTGGGCGGCCTTGTACGCAAGAGGTTCTGAACAGGGGGAGTTGTAAGAAGATAAAAAACGAATTATTTTCTTTCTTGAATATCAGAGCGTATATATATGAAACTCCGACGAAACAGTTTGTCACAGCCCCTCGTTTGTTATCCTGTTCTCCCTCTCTGCCTAATGTTTACCGGGCAGTTCTGTTTGACGATAGATAGATATATCGTCAAACAGAGCTGCACGGTAAACCGTCGGCAGAGAGGGTATATATATCATGTGACAATATATATATATTTGTCACAGCCCCTCGTTTGTTGTCCTCTTCTCTCTCTCTGCCTACGGTTTACCGGGCAGTTCTATTTGTGACGATATATATATATATATATATATAAGTATGTTTGAAATTCTGATATATATATAAGTATGTTTGAAATTCTGATATATATATAAGTATGTTTGAAATTCTGATATATATATAAGTATGTTTGAAATTCTGCATGTTCTTGATACCATTTTCTGTGGCGTAAAAATCTCTGACAGACCTGAGTTCGAATCCTTCCCTTTGTTCTTTCTGTGTTTTCTTATCAGACGAATGAAAAATAGCCCTTCATTTCCTTAGCACTCTCCCGTCTGCTTGGCGTTGTCCTTTTTTTTTTTTTTAATTTTAAATAATAATGGTGTGCAAATTCTTTGGATGTCTTTCATTTCTCCTACTGCTTAGGACACACTTCATAATCCTTAACCCGCTCTAATGTCTTACGTGCTAGGTCACCAGTGTCGTGCTGCCCGGGTCGTCCGGTCGGGGTACCCGGGCGACACCAATTTTTTTTATTCTTTTTTTGGCAGTGGGGAATTTTTCGCCCACTGAGGTGTGCCTAAATCCAGCCTTATCTTTGAATTTGGTGATGCCTCGCCGAAGAGTTACTATGGGGTACAAGCGGGGTTTGGAGGGGCTTTTAGGGGTAGAATTCACTTTTTTTTTTTCATTTTTTATTTCAGATTTCGTTACAAATGTCAGGGTGACCCTCGGCCAAAAGTTGTTTGATTTGCAATTCTGCATGACATACTTTTTTTCCAGATTCTTTTGATGATTTCTGTTTTTTTTTCTTTCGCGCTAGGACTGTCTGGGACCTTGGCCGGGACGTTGCCAAGTCATGGCGCGGCCAGACAACCCGGGCCAATCTGAGCCAATCCCGTGCGGCCCGGCTGGTAACCCGGCCTACGTGCCTATTTCCTCAGTTTTATTTAGCATCGTGTTTTTCAGCTCGCTGTTATTCTTTCCTTCTTTTTTTCCCTCCCCTGCTTGTAGTAGTAATCCCCATAATTTTGGTCCATTCCTTCCCTTCCCTTCCCCCCCCCCCCCCCCCCCCTCCGTCCTCGCATTTTTTTTTTTTTTCCCCAAAAAAACCCTTTATTTTTTTTGGGGGGTCCCCCTATTGGTCCCCACCCCCCCCCCCCCGTTTTTTTTTTTTTTCGTTTTTTTTTTTGGCAAAAAAACAGTTGTCCGATTTTCGGACAACTC